TCTAGTTTTAGTTTTTTTATTATTATTATAGTTTTTTATTAAATGCATATGAAAGTAAATACGGTACTTATAACTAAAATACAATTTTTTAACTTTTGTCTGTCTGTCTGTTTGTTCCGGCTCTCCGAAACGGCTGGACCGATTTTGACGGGATTTTCACTGGCAGATAGCTGATTTCATAAGGAGTAACTTAGGCTACTTTTATTTTAGAAAAAGAATTATGGTTCCGCGCAAAAACATAAAAACTCTAACACGCGAGCGACATCGCGGGGAACAGCTAGTTGATAAATGTTCTTTTACCATCTTAAATCTCAATAACGCCACATTAATAGATCCTATCCTGGCGAAGCCGGGGCGGGTCGCTAGTACGAAATAAATGGACGTGGTTATGCAAAAAGGATCCAACCCTAAAGAAGAAAGCTAATTTGAGGTTATGAAATTTGAAGAATGTATCTGTATGGTTTGTGTTTATAATTTTTCTTCTTATTTATTTAGTTTACTAACGTACGAACGTACAATACAAAGTACAAACGTCTTCACGTACGATTATACGATGAGACGTTTATTTTATTTTATACCTGTTTGGTTTTCTTAGTTAGGTATACGAAGAATACAAAATTCGACGTAGCTTAGGCTTGGGTAATTTTAAAGTTTAAAATGTTTGGTAGATGCGTCACTAAAATGTCGCAATCGGAGAATTAAAAGAATAGGCGCATATTGTTGGGTCGAAAGTCCACAACAAAGACACTTTATTAATATTTGCTAAGTAGTACATTAAAAAAAAATACAATGTAATTTTCAAATTAATCGAGCCTAACAAGTGAATCTATGAATGGACTAAACAGCGTTAATAACAAGACTTCCGTTCTCGACGGAAGTCTTACAAGTACCGTACAGAATAACAAAAGTGGGACGGCGTATTGAACAATAAAGTTAATGAGTACACGACCTGAAATAATTATAATAAATAACATCAACTCATTAGCTAAGGTGGCACTGGCACATCTTAGAGCCGACATCTATCGGGTGTCTTGATGCGTGACGTATGACGCAATGGAGCTGTGACTAACGTAATGTGATAAGAAATACAATTACATTTATTACATTTATGCCCATATGATGATATTAGAGGTACCTATATGTTAATATGTAGCTTTGAAACCAGGCCGGGTCAATTGTAGAGAACTGTTCTTGTGATATTATCTATACGAAAATATGAGGAAAGAAATGGATTGGAATGTCTATGGGGGATTTCCTTACATTTTGTAGTGGTGGTGTTAAGAAATTCACTACACCATATCAACTTTTTATACTGTTAGATATGCAGATGACCTGACAATACTCATCACGTTTATTGTCATAATCAGTGACCTCAGACAAGCAGCAATACGAATGTTAGAAATATGGTACATTGACTACCACGTAAAGACAAATCCTGACAAAACTGAAATGGTATGATTAAGCCATAAATGTGAGCTCTAAAAACTACCATTTAAACACAACTTACAACTCAAAGCAAGATTCAAGGAAGAAAGTTCAAAGAAGCAAGTTGTCGAGTGGCAGCTTCGTTCCAGTAGGTGAAGTGTGGGGCCCGTCCCCACTAGTTGGAGTGACAACCTAGTTAGACATGCAGGAAATCGATGGATGCAGGTGGCTTGGGTCCGTGCTTTGTGGCATCCCTTGGGGGAGGCCTATGTTCAGCAGTAGACTTATGATACGAACTCACTGTTCCAAACTGAACTATGTCTGTCACCACAAGTAAAATACCTAGTTATTACTTTATATGTACATCCAGTTAATTTGGTCTACTCATATACATCACAAAACTAAAAAGGCAAGCATCACCTTCCATCAATGAAAGTGGATTGGCAGACTTTAAGGCCTGTCCTCGAAATTGGATGACAACAAATTCATAAAACGGTGCTCAGACCTAAGATCTCATATGGTGCACTAGTTTGGTGGAAGGAAACCAGCCTAATCACTACAAAAAAACTTCAAGGATGCCAAAGATTGACCTGCATGGCCGCCACAGAGGCTATGAGAATGAAAATGTTTGACCGTGAGAATGGACCTGACGTAGTTGCATCTTTTCATTTAGCAAGAAGCAACACTGTCACCTTTGATATAAACAAAACATGTGAGCAGTTCACACACGGTAGATGTGAAACCTTCAGAAAAGGAGACCGAAGATAATAGGAAACATTGTTTACTGTATTCTATCTCATTCTCTTGTAGGCTAAATCCTATAGATGTATATTATAGTATCTTTATAGTGTCGCTGTTTTGTTTCATTGAGTTTCAAATCACAATGATTCTTAAGAAGTTTTCACTTCAAAAGTCTTAACTTGAAATTTTTCAGTAATGGTTCTAAGACAGGAATCAGGTACTGGCTCCAGGACTATCTCAAAGGATTTAACCTTACACAGAGATACTGTTAGGCCAGGTCTACGAAATTCAGTCTTTTAAGCTATCATTAATTGTGGCTATACAAGTAAAGAACAAGGATTGTCAAATACTCTCAGGTTTTCAAGGGCCTTGAATAATAATTTCTCTCACAAAATGTCTTAAAAGTCATGAACCGGGGGCTAATCTATAAATGCTTCCAACTTCTGAACATGGAGGGTAAAGTAAATATCATCACCCATAAAAAGCAACAATGAATTCAGAGGCAATAATGCCACAAATGACATAGCCTAAAGCAGCTCAACATGTAGGACAGTCAGATCAGAACCTATTATCCCACTTTGGTTTGGATTTATATGGTCTGAGGTTATTTTTTTATAGAATAAGGTGATAAACAAGGTGCAATGCTACATGAAGAAACTACATGCTTAATCATAAATTAATCAAAGAGAATGCAGGCAAGTTAAAGAGGCATTACCTAAGATCAGTAGACGCTATTAAAAATAATGCTTTGTTTGGAAATATCCTAAATTCAAACTATTACAAGGGTGCAAGTTAGGCAAGGATCACTTAATAAACATCTGTTTATAGGTGTCTAGGATAGCCTATATAGCTCTATATAGGGCCTGCCTGGGATATGAGGAGATGGTGGCTCACATCTTGCTTGAGTACTCTGGTCTACCCGGGATCTTTGGCAACATTAAAAGTTGTTAGGATTCCTCGAGGAACCAGGATGGCTCAAAAAGCATTAATTATTACCAACTACTTCATACTTTTTATATCTGCTAGTGGACAGTGTAACAGGTGATGAGGCTGAGGAATGTGAGAGAACTGTGTACAGTAGTGGATGGTAATGAAGATTACAATTCAGAATGTTCCACTGGAAGCTAACCAACAAAAACAGTGAAATATTTCGCTGGTAGGAAATGGACGGAAAGATTTGTTTCCATATTTCCATAATGACCAAGACTACATAAGGCCGGCCTTCTAGCTGTTTTACTAAGGAATCTAATCACTACTTACACAATTTACCATCAAGTAATCACGTAACTAGCCAGTGAAACCTAGCACACATAGCTGTAGGAATTCAATTAGGAATAGCTATTATCTGTTAATATCATTGATGTTCTTGCAATAGCGGCGTTAACAATTTGGCTTAATAGATTTTCATGTAAGAAAGGTAGTGGTAGGTTGTCTTGCTACAATTTTCTGAATGAATATAAATTACATAACATATTAGTGACATTCACAAATATATGTAAAATGCCAAATTTCATGAAGATGCTCAAGTCTAGCCAAAATGAAGAAGAAGAGTGAAACAATGGTTTCAGTACAACAAATAAGACAAATGCTATCTGAACTCTGAACATACAAAATTGTTATAGCCTAACTTTATAACTTACTCCAATAAATTCTAAATATGGTAAGAAAATATTTTTACCCACAAAAACAGTACACCACCCATTACAATTAATGGTTCATAGATTACTTATATGTACCTGTTCAAGTTTTGATTAATACCATAGAAATACTTGTGAATTTAAATGGAGCAAGGTTTATGTTTTTAATCATTTCAATCACAAAACATTTTACTTATCCACTGTTACGTGGTAGAACCATGCTGCAGCTATATTACTGGTATAGTTATAGTGCGAATGGGTTGGCTTGACAAGGGAAGGACTACACTCTCACAGAATACCAGCGTAAAATAGCAGCTTAACGATGCTGTGTTATATGGTGAGTGTGGTGATGGGTGACAACGCATCTGCATTTTGATTCATAACTGAGGATAGATGTAGATGTCTACGGGCCACAGCAACCACTTACCATTAGGTGGACTATGTGCTCATTTGTAACCCCTATCCTACAAAAAAAACCTATAGCCTATACCTAATGGTGAATAATGATAAAAAGTATGCCATTAACTATTGCCATATAATATGCAACATCTTCAATTGATTGCTAATTTGATCTATATACTTCCATCTAGGGTGTTCCCTGCCAACTCTATCACTCACTTATGCAGCATAAATTTACTTTGTCACTCTTTCCTTATTAATTTTTTCTAATCAAACCACTCAAGCGAAAGCTGGTTAATTTTTAATTAAAGTAAGATACAAAAGTTCTATGGTATTTATTATCTATCAATATAAAGATTCTATACATAAATGTTTAGTTTTTGATTATTTTATTATGTAAGAAATCTACTTAGAACAACAAGAAACAGCAAATTTTATTTAACAAATATGACAAATTTCTAAGTATTATTAGACTTTTACATCTAATGGATTTTTTTAAATATATATTGTATTAGAAACAAGTAAATATGCAAATTCAATACACATATGTTGCCATATGCATGTAATATGTACTAAAAACATGCAAAGCCTTAGAATATTTAATTTAATTTAATACATAAATAAAATACTAGAATCATAATGGGTCATGTTAATTAAATAAGAACCTGCCCAATATGAAATCATTATTGTTTTTGTGTAAAGCATAATATCAAAAACAAACTCAAACAAATATTAAGGCCGATAACACAAAGAAACTGTTACTCAAACACTGTTTATTTTACTAACATTACAACTTACCAGTTGAAATTCTCTCCGCCTGTCATACGCCCTTTTTATAGCCCTGTCTAACCACAAGGAGTGTATGTGTGGCGCATAATGCATGAACAGCAGGCTGTCAAGTGACGCACTGCTGTTGAAGTGCAACGCTTGCTGACCAATGTCCAGATTCCTCGGATTTTCCCACGGGATCGCAAGTTTGTCACGCGCGTCCACTAACACTTGAATACCCTTCACTATGTTCTGATAAATCACATGTTGGTACTCGCGTACGAGTTCCGGCTCAAACTTCACTCTATGTATTATCCTCATCTGTTTCAGGAATGTTGATTTTCCGCTTTCACCTGCACCAAGTAACAAAAGTTTGACCTGTCGCCGTAAAGTCTGTTTGTCCTTCTCCAATATTCTGTCAATCTCTTTACTTCGGTATCGCTGTTCTATCTCCTCAGGTGAGAGTTTCAGGCGCAGCCAACATGTCAGGGCTTCGGTACAACAGTAACATGACCACAAATCGTTGGCCATTTTGCATGTTTATCGCAAATACTAGAGAAAATCCGAGCAATTGAACTTTCACACTATTTCAATAGTCTAATAATACACATTGTCACATTAACACTTGGTACACGCGGACAAAATAAAATAAAATAAACGATTTAATCCGGAATCGGTAGTACACACGCATCGCACCCCTCCCAAACTCATTGAGAAAAATGAAATGAGATTTTGTTATTAATTTTTTAGTTTGGATGCTTGTCTTTTAAGCCATAATAAAATGAGAAAGCGTAACACAGCACAGATAAGATATATGTCCGTTATGGTCAAGGAGGTTATAAATTAATATAAGGAGTGAGCGCTTGGAACATTGTAACCGTTCCTCATTTTTCTTAGAAAGAGAGGCACCGAGTTTTGTATTGTATCTCCTTCTAACATTGATAAATGTTTACACAAAATAAAAACATTACCAACGTTTATACAGTTATTGACTTAAAGTAATGTTTTAGATTTAATCTTACATTTTTTATCACTAATCATAGTTGGTATATTCCATATTTTATTTCAATTAAGCTTATAATTAAGTAACACGAAAAAAAACCCACTAAAACACGGATGTTCTTTCCTTAAAATCTACGGGGTGCATTTTACGCTATAGATGACAACACTACTTTAAAATTTGACGTCGTCAAATGAATGAATATATTGTTTTTTTTTTATAGGATAGGATGACAAACGAGCACACAGTTCACCGGGTGGTAAGTGGTTGCTGTGGCCAATAGACATCTACATCTATCCTCGTTTGCGAATCAAAATGCAGATGCGTTGTCACCCGTGAGGACTAAGATGGAATGCCTCTTTTGCAGTAAAAAGGGTCTCCGGTTCTCTACACTCACCATACGAAGTAATACATCAGTGTTGAGCTGCTATTTTACGCTGGTATTCTGTGAGTGCATGGTCCTTCCCCGGTCGAGCTAACCCATTTGTGTTATAACTATACTACTAATATAGCTGCAGCATGGCTCTACCAAGTAGAAAACGCCTTGTGCTAATCATTCGCTAAATTTATGTGGAGTGCACTCACTTAGGGAGCGTTAATTCAAGTTTAACTTTTTTTCGGAAGAGTAGAAAGAGTTTACATGTTCTTTTCATCATCCAAACGTCAATGGGAAACTTTAATAATACGTGTAGGGTGTATCCGTCAAAAGACTCACAGAACCAAGATGGATTGCTCATCATGACGCTGTAAAACCACTGCAGAATAATTAAAAAAAAGAACTAGTATAAACACTCGAAGATATATATGATTCCAGCACCAACAGAGAAAACGTCGATACAAGAGAAGCAGCATCTACACTCTTACCAGCTTTTTATGACTTCAGTTTTTTCCTTTTGGTGTAAAATTCTAAAAAAAAAGTTAGTCAAACACAAAAGTAAACACTAAATAATAAAATAATAATCTAGATTATCACTGAAAGAAGAAGAAGAAGTATGTGATAAAAATCAAAGGCCAAAAATTTTTCTTCAAAGCCAACGTATTCAACTAGTGGAAAAAACTATTTCCTACGTAACAAAAAATGTGAGAATGTGGATATTTCAATTGAAAGAAGAAGAGGAATGAGGAGATTTCGAAAACGTTTACCAGGAGAAATGACCCGATATGCTGGACTAACATTGCCAGAGGACCTGCAGAGAGCTATGTTAGAATGTGTTGACAGATTTTACGAGGAACTAGACCATCGCTACGGAGCAATGGATGATATTCTCGTGATATGTCTCGATGAAGATCTTCGTGTAATAGTTCAAAATCTGACAAAAATCTACGATGATTTTTCTGCAGGATATATAATTTTGGAGATGTTACTACTTAAAAGCTGCCAGCATTTCTTCCCAAGAAGCGGTTCAATGTAATTCATTGGAGCTTTTCTCGTAAAATTGGGCTATTCTGAATCTGTTTTGAATCTCGCGCTGTGCCTATGATTTTTTTACTATTAAGTTTCATGTAAAGGAAGCTTTTCAAAACTCAAGTTAATAAAATCTTACTTAAGGTCCACAATGATCCAAACGCGACTAACCAATCTTTCCATTTTATCTATCGAAAATGACAATAAAATAAACTTTGATAATATGTTTGAATATTTTAGCAAAATAAAGTCCCGTTAGCATGTATAGCAATTTTTGTTTTATTTTGGGGGGTGCTTGATAGAAAACCGCCCTGGGTTTCAAACCACGCTGCGCCGCCACTAGTTACCGTAAGGTTTGATACTGTAGCGAACCAATAATTTAATCAAAATATTAAACGGAGTTTAATTATAACACTATTCAGCACTTTCCATATTGAAAGAAATACGCATTTCTTTTTCCGTAATGCTGTATACACTATTAATTTCCTCAAAATATTGTATCGTGGTCACTCTATTAGAAAGAAATGGAACGCTATACATACGTTTATTTATATTTCAGTTATATTTTTTAAATTTGATTTGATATTTGTATTAAATATTCAAACTTAATAATTTGAGTGCTAAATGTTTTGTTTTCACCGGAACCTTCTCCTTTTTTGCAGTCGATTAATAATGCATTAAAAACTAAATTTTAACCTTTTAGGCATATAATAAGGAAGTATATTAATTCTAAAGCCTGCTTTTTACTATGGGATATAATTTAATATATATTACATCTCGATATATAAATTAATATCGCTCACAATACTTTTAAATGGTTCTAAAGAAGAAAAGTGACAGGTGACAATTGTCCATATTTTGAAATATATTGTTTAAAATAACTATTTATTATAATATTATTTTATATATAATTATACATTTGATGCAAAAAAGGATGCTTTATACAGTGGTGTAAATTTCTATAAGCACAAATTTCACGAAAAAATTTTAGGAGTGTAAAACGGACATTTTCGTGAACACCGCCGGATTTTGATGTTTGCCGAACCAAATCAGAAAGTGGCAGATTGTGTATTATCTCATATAAGGAAAGATTCCACGCCACGCAAGCATTACAATTCCAACCCTGACATCAATAAATCAGGTGAGCCTAGCAATATGACTACTCGTAAGCATAAACACGACAACGACTTCTCAGAGGCTCTCAATAATTTTACCTCAGAGATACGTAGAACTTTACATGACTGGAAAAAGGAAATTCAAGATGAAATATCAGGAATTAAAAATAATTTAGACTTCGTATTAAAAACCGATCTTGAGAAACTAAATGCATCCTTTGCTGAGATCATGTCGGAACTAAGCAGCGTCCGTCAGGAATATCACGAGATTAAAAAGTCGGTCATATCTCTTGACCTAAAGTACAACGAGACAATGAAGCAAATCACAGTTTTAGAAAACTCTGTACAATTCAATTGCGACCAATATGACCATGTTCAAAAGAAAATGGAATTATTATCTGTTAACAAAAAAGCAATCGAATCACTAGAATCTAAAATGGACTTATTGACTAACGAAAACAGACTATTACAATTGGAAATTAACACAAATAATCAAAGAGATCGCCTTTTGAACTTAGAGATCGTCGGCTTTCCTGAAATCAAGGAAGAAGACTTAACCAATTTAATTATATCCATTGCTAAGCAGTCTAATGTAACTATTTCCCCTAATGATATATTAGAAGTTAATCGTGTCACACCGAAAATCAAACAACAGGGCCGCCCGAAAAATATAATTGCAAAGCTTAAATCCCGTCTTCTAAAGGACAACATAATCTCTGGCACTCGAAAAAACCGACTGACCACCAAAGACCTTGCCATTCATGGCAGCGTTCGTCCCGTATATGTCAATGAGCATCTTACACAGTGCAATAAACTTCTACTAAAGAAATGTAGGGAGACGGCGAAACTTAAGCAGTATCAATATGTGTGGACAAAAAACGGGAGGATCTACGTAAGGAAGAACGACACATCTCCGGCTATGCATATATCACAGGAAAGAGACGTTTTAAAATTAATTTAATCTTACATTGTATATTGTTTTGTTCTCTTTTCAAGTACGTTATATTGCTTAAATTTATCAATTCCATCGTTGTAAAAGCAATTCATTGGTCTCTCTTATCTCATTTTGTCTATATTATATATCATTGTTTGACCGCACGTAAAGAGAGCTCAATTAATGAAATATTTTTGGTCTTAAGTGTATTAGTCACACGCGCGATAATTGTGCAGCTAAGTTGCATCCATATTCTTCACGAACGTTACTCAACTATATATATATTATGGTTTCTTTTACTATATCCTTTATATTTAATAAAATACCAATTATATTTTTTCTGGCGTCTTGTATATTATGTATTAATTTATTTTACTTTGTCAATCTATGAATTCATCTATTATATTGTTATTATTCATAATAATTACCCGTTCAATATTTATTTATTAAATCTAACAACAATACTTAAAACGTCCATATTGTTACATTCGCGATATTTATATATATATTTAATAACTGCTCTGCATATTTATAAGCTCGCACCCTTTTATGTTGACTCGACTATATTAATCAAATCGTTTAAGGATTCATTCTGTTATATCTTATTGATAAATTTTATACTCTACCACCTTATACAAAAAATCAAGTCACTATTAACTAGCAACTGCCGAAGTGATATATCATTGTTCGTACTACTTAAGTCTAACGTAAACAAATTATTAGTTCTGTTACTCTGTGTAGCTTTAAAGTACTATAAATTTAACACAATTGGGTACATATTTGATTTTGATTAATGGCTGTAAATAATTTGTACTGTTATTATCAGAATGTTCGTGGTCTTAGGACTAAATGTCTTGAATTACGACTAAATATTTTGACGAACGATTACGACATTATAATTATGACAGAATCATGGCTACACAGTGGAATTTTTGATGGTGAGTTGTGCGACGATAGGTATGACGTGTTCAGGGCTGACAGAGATTTGCGTAATAGTGGTAAAAGTACTGGTGGTGGAGTATTAATACTGACACGACGTACACTCGGTGCCATGTATCGTGACCTCGGCGTATGCGGTCTTACTGAGCTATTGTGGATTACTATTCCTTCAAGCGCGTGCGCTTCAAATTCCAACTTACATATTTGTGTGGCATATATTGCCCCTGACCCTCATCAAATGCCATCGGATCTCGTTTTTATTAAACAAAAAATTAATAGTATTATCGAGCTTTCTCCAAATGATAATTTTGTAATATTAGGAGATTTCAACTTGCCGTTCATTTCTTGGAACCCAAACGGATATACAGCTTTGAAAAAAGGGCCTACTGAGGTACAAGAAGCGAGAATTCAGCTGATGGAAACACTAACATTTCACGGGTTAAGACAATTTAATACTTTAAAAAATCATGCTGGTAACACATTAGATCTTGCATTCTCTAATCTACCTCTGAATATCATCCCTGCGGCTGCGCCGCTACTCAGGGAGGACCACGCACATCCTTCTTTTTGCTTCATAGTTTTGGATTTAAACATTACTCCTCTACGGGAAACAGCTGCGTCGAGGCGAAATTTCAGGAGGGCTGATTATGAAAAAATTAATACATATCTTTTAGAACAGGACTGGAGGTCTCTTTTATGTACAGGCACTGTAGACGAAGCTACAAATACCTTTTATAACATACTGGATAGTTGTGTTCGTTTACATGTGCCTTTTAGTTATAACACAGGGAAGCGATCATATCCTAAATGGTACACACCTGCTTTAATAAAAATAATTAAGGAGAAAAACAATGCTCACACACGTTGGAAAAAATTCAGGAATAGATTAGATTACGATGAGTTTTCGTTACTCCGAGCAAGAGAACACCGTGTTCAGAGAGAATGCTTTAATAAATTTACGTCAAGTTGTGAAAATAGCATCAAAACACATCCTAAAACATTCTGGACTTTCGTCAAAGCCATTCGGGGTGGGTCAGGTTACCCTAAGAAAATGTCTTTGAAAGATATAGAGTACACCGATGGTATAGACATATGCAATGCTTTCAACTCATTCTTCAAGAGTGTATTTGGTATTCCTAGTAATAACTACATATATCCACATACGGAATCGTTGTGTACTGACACCGTTTCTAATGTACAGACAAACGCTGCAATAATTGAAAAAATGTTGAAAACTTTGGACACGAACAAAGGTGCCGGTAGTGATGGGTTACCTTCTTTTTTTTGGTCACGATGCGCTAAATCACTTGCTCTCCCCTTGACTATTATATTTAATCGCTCTCTACGTGAAGGGATATTTCCGCATCAATGGAAGTGTGCACACATAATCCCTGTACACAAGAAGGGATCACGTACAGAAATAAATAATTATAGAGGCATTTCTATTTTGAACACCGCGGCTAAAATTCTTGAACGAGTAGTATATAACGTAATTTACTCCACGCTTTCACGTGCCTTCCCTGAGCAGCAACATGGTTTTTTACAAAGGCGATCCACCACTACGAACCTGGCAAGTTTTTCTTCTTTTGTCCTTGAAAATATGGATCAAGGTGGGCAGGTTGATGTGATCTACACTGATTTTGAAAAAGCTTTCGATCGTGTGGATCACATGATCCTGCTCAACAAATTACAAATATTAGGGATTCACGGTGACTTGCTCCGATGGACTGAATCATATCTCACAAACCGCTCACAAGCAGTCGTGATAGGTGGTTTCCGTTCGAGCTACATAAACATACCTACAGGTGTTCCTCAGGGCTCTCACTTAGGTCCACTTTTTTACAATGCCTACCTATATGACATTGGTTCGTGCATTATACACACAAATTACCTCATGTATGCAGATGATAAGAAGATTTTTTGTAAAATTAACACCATACATGACTGCCTATTGATACAAAAAGACCTGGACCGTTTATTTGAATATTACAAAATAAATAATATAACTGTCAATGCAAGCAAGTGCGAATGTATTAGTTTTACACGGAAATCTAAGCCAATTCTAAATAAATATCACTTTGACGGATTAGAAATCAGCCGAAAAGTAAGTGTTAGGGATTTAGGCGTAATTTTTGATCATAAAATGATACTATCCGAACACATTGATTACGTTATCAGTAAAGCCTATAAAAATCTTGGTTTTGTTCTTCGCATCTGTAAACCATTCTCGAATATTAATACAATTAAAATGGTTTATTTTGCATATGTCAGAAGTGTTTTGGAATATGCTAGTTCAATATGGTCTCCACAGTACAATGTCTACAAAAGCCGCCTTGAGCGTATTCAAAAAATATTTGTTAATCACCTTAACTTTCGCTGTCGGAATAAAATCGATACTTACACAGACAGTTGCACTGAGCACGATCTCTTATCTCTGGAACATAGGCGCATTTTGCTTGACATGGCTTTGTTATATGATATAATAAACAGTAATATTGACTGTCCATATCACCTTTCGTACTCCAAAATTCCGTACCCGCAATACTACATTGTTACAAACTCCCTGGCATCATTCAAACTACTGTCGAAACACTGTTCTTTCGCGGCTTGCTCGTACATATAATGAACAATTTGGACACATTGACCTCTTTGCGAAATCTAAACTTACGTTTAAAGATTACATCAAGAAAACTATTACGAAATAGAGCAGTTGAAGTTAAAATCACATACAATCATATATTCTCTCATCTATTTCTTCTATATGTATTTTTGAGGCTACTAATATAAATATAAGTACTTAAGTTATTTTATTTAATATATATTATAATTAATTATTTGTATTATGTTTATATATTTAAATATTTAATATGTATATATACATAAGTAAATATATATGTATGTATATATATATATATATATATATATATATATATCTTATATGTTTATATATATATACATATATATATATATATATATATATATATATATATATATATATATATATAAAGGTAATGTAATATATCATTCTACCTGACTATCTCTCCTGAACTGTAAACTTATGACCACCTTCATTACATTGAATTGCTTATAATTTTGCTTATAATTTATCTATTAGATTGTTCTTTTTCCTTTTCTTCTAACAACAATACACCTACCATCAAACAATATAAGGGTAACCTGTTATTGGCCATACTTTTAGTTTGTTACATTAATGTTAATATTTTCTATATACGCTGTTGGTTTTCTAAATAAATAAATAAACTAACCGTTCACACTAAGCTATAATATATATCACATCTCAAACTATAAATATTTTTTCGATCGACCGTGAGATATTTTCATATTATATTTCGTCCCCTGTACCCCGCCCCGCACAGCCGCACACCGTTCCGCACCGCCGCAGAACGGTGTGCGGGGTACAGGGGGTAATCCAATGACGAATGCACACTGGTTAAAAGATATATCTTGCTCAGTGTGAAAGCCAATCGCGGGTTAAAATTTAAATTGCGGGATATAATATGTATTATATCACATAATGAAAAGCGACTTTAAGTCTATGTTTTCAGGGCAAGACCACAAACAAACCATAGCTCCATAAACTAATAAGAATAGGCATGACAAAGTACCAGCAAAGTACCTTTCACTTTTAGTTATTAATTTATCTATGCTTTCAGTCTTGTACTGCTGGCAAGTGGCAACACTGTTAAAAATTTCAAAATATCAAATTGAGTAAGCATAAATTCCGCGCATAATGTGTGCACGTGTTAGAGTATAATATTAAATAATTTATTTCAGGGTATTCATGTTTTATTAAATTATTTTGATTATTATATTATCTTGCAACAAGTTCTGTTGAAATTGATGTGAAGCTTGTAGTTTGAAATATATAGTGCACAATGTAATTATTTTGAAGCTGAGCGATGTCCAAAGAAGGTTATAGTAGCGAAAAGAAAGAAGGTGATAGCAAAGTTGTTCTTGAGAGATTACAATCATTTTTGAAAGATAAAAGAAGTGCTGAATCTGCGGAATCTAGTTTAAGTTACGTCAAACCTAGTACTAGTTTTGAACAAAACCCACAGACTGGCCCTGTACTCGACGATAGCAGTGCCGTATTGAGAGAAGTTTTGAATCATAAAAAAACCGAATTGCTACGCCAGCCGGAAATAATTGCTTATTTAAAGTCTGTGTCCTCAGATCTTAAGAAATAATGGCTATAGTAACTCAGAAAAGTGTTGCATCATTGATGCGAAAAACATTAGATCGCCAAACTGCTCAAGCTCGTATGAAATTGAGGTTCAAAAAGAACCAAATTGAGCAGATACTTTTGAGTTACATTAGCAATGGCAACAGTGGACCATACAATGAACTTGTTAAAGTTTTAGAAGAGTATCCGTTGAATGATGACAATTACAAGATATTGATTGAAGATTGTATATCATGTGTAGTGCTTTTGGGAAGAGAATTAAAACAATTTGTAGAAGTGTTGTGCAATGTAGAGTGGGCTAGTAGAGATGAAAAATTGGTTGAAATGTATAGTAGATTTGTACTTAACCTTGTGACTGCTCATACTTACCATTGTCCAAAAGTAATGGCAAACTTGGTTAGGCTTTTTAAAGGTAACATAAATATTAATATTATGCACTTAAAATCGGATATAATGATATTGCTTAGACTAACTAAACGGAAGTATTGCTATGAAATGGCTAGGTCCCATCGGAGTCCCATCGGAGTCCCCATATAAACACTTATGTAAACAAATTACTTTTAGTAACTATCAAATCATATATCTTTGTTTATGGAGCTTTGCAATATAGTACTTATGAATGTTAATATATTATAATTAATATGGGATCTAGCATATTTATTTAGGTAGTTCTTTTAATATCATTAAACCCATCTGTATAATCCTATTTATAGTAGGTGTTGCTGCATAATTAAAATTACCTGTTTACAGATGCTAGTGAAAACTGGGAAGACAGACCTCCCAAAGAGGTTATGACAAAGTGGTCCAATATACACACAGTTATTGCACAAATTGTTGCTGTCATGCCCATGTAAGTTATATATTACCAAGTATTTACTTAACTGTATAGTGGCAGTGTAAAAATATCCCTTACCTTGTAACATTCCATATGTGTCGTAAAAGGCAACAGGGGGAAGCTGAATAATATAATACATAATTATATAATTTGCTTGTAACTTGTGTGCTTGTACTTTCATAACTAAAATTAAAAAATTTCAAAATCCCCAAAACAGAAATTGCTAATGGTAACACTCTCAATTAGGGACCTGACAAAGAAAAAAAAACTTAAGCAAATTCGGTTCATCCATTCAGGAGCTATGATGCTACAGACAGACACAGATACACATATACTCAGATACACACTACAAACATATAACACTACTCTGTTTTCGTGGGGAGTTAAAAAATGAGGTTGCCAACCCATTTGCCAAGTGTGGCAACTATGAGACAGTCTATGGGGGATGATTATGTTCAACAGTGGACTTAGGCTGTAATGGTAAAATATTTAATGGCTGAATACTCCAACACTCGTAATTTTGTTGTTAAATAGATTACATTAAGTAAAGATAAGATAACTTAGTTATTTTAAAAATCTCTATTTAGGCAATCATATTAATCTACAAAAACCTGAATATATTTGCAGTCTACCTGATGGTAAGTGGCTATTGCACTCCATAGATACCTGCAGCCAACTTCAAACGAGGGCTTAAGGTCACCTTTGAACTAAGATGGAATGCCTCACAGCCTGTAATATCATACTGGCTCTATATATATATCAGATATTGACTTTTTCCATCAAGAAATTCTCATTAGCTGCACGGAGTCATGGAGTTTCACACCTCCGTGCCTCGGAAAGCACGTAAAGCTGTTACTCCTGCACCTGATCTCTCTCCTGTTGTGTTGGTTTACCGTCCTATCAGACTATGAGAGTGAGGGAATAGTGAGTGAACCTGTGCTTGTGCATACACTTGGGCACTATAATTTTGTCATGCACCAATGGCTAGTCTCCGTTAACGCTGGCCACCATGACCGAAATTCAGTCTGGAGGACATTATTATTATTATTATATATTCTTCAGCCCAGAATACAGAAGTGCAAGTAGTGCTATTTGATGGGAATTTTTTTTAAAAAGGATGTTACCTATGCATATGGACAACTAAGCAGAAAATAAATCGTAATCAAAAAAAATTGAAAAGACCAAAAGGCATTAAATATGAAAACTAACAGCGACACTGTTTTTCACACTAACACTGGCCAGTTTTGCAATAACAGAATCGTGATCAACAAAAAAATTGATTGAATGTTTTGGAAGGAATGACCTGTGTCAAACTGGTCAAATAAGTAAGGGTTTTGAGTTCTAAACTGTCTCTGACAATAAGCATCTCCTAGAGACAAAGCTTGGTTACAAGTCATATACAACTGTAGTGATCTTTCCTAATGGTGTATAATTTCACAAAAGTTGAATGCTGTCCCAGATTTCAGTCTTAGACAGTGTAGGTTGTTCTGGTTCTAATGTGGATAACACTTGTAGAACTCTTACAGATAGATTAATAGCTTGCAAAGTTATGTATGTGTAAGTCAAAACTACTAAATACTTTTTGTTACTTGTATAGAAAACATTCTGCAATTTTAATTATTTCAGGACAAGTGACCTTTTGATGCAAACAATTGTTGACCAATTCCCTTATTACAAAGCAGGATGCTACACAAATAGAGCCTATATTCATAATTTAATATGGATGAGCAAATACATACCATCACTAAGAGAACAGATAATGATGACTATTGTTAACAGGTGAGAGATATGAAACTTAATTAAAAATTACTAGCTTATTTTTCTAATTTTGTTAGTATAAAACTTAAGCTGTGGTATATAGTTCAGTTATCCAAAAAACATTTTCTTTAGGCATGTTGAAGGAAATTTTTTACTATGTAATGTAAATCACACTAAATATTATTACAAATATTGTATAGTAAGTACTGTTACTGAAATTTCTGGAAGGATCTCGACTCTTCTAGTTCTGCTACTCGACACTAGTGGGCGCTAGTGTAACTAGTGTTGCCATGTACAAGACATTAATAGTGGCGCGCAACAGTACGCAGTTAGCCAGCAAAGAGAATTAAATGTGATGTAGTTCACTCATAATAATTTATAATATATAATAAATATTTTAGTTTCAGAATAAAATTGAATTTGGTGGTATGGTATATGTATCCTATACACTTATAGTACAAAGAGGTATAATTATTATAGTCTCATGTTGGCCTGAGGCTTATAATTAAGGTCACATAATTATGGGGGACTTTTATTCATTGTGATCAAAATTAGTTTTTAGTAAGAAATTATTAGTAATATAAATATAATGTTAAACCATGCTTATTTGGAGTATGCTGGCTAAACAGATTGATATAAGAGAAATAATTGAATATCTATGTCTAAATATGTACAATGTAATAGCACAGCGACTTTTTTTAACTAAAATACTTGAGAACTAAACTAAGTTTGTAATATCTTTCTAATAAATCTTAACTGATTTTACCTATTTTTTACCTTCACGAAAATCAATAATATTTTATGTAATTATTTAATTCTAGTTTATTATATTATTTAAACAAAAAATATTGATGATAATCTTATTAATGAAATATTTGACATATATGACGTCAGAACATTACAAATACTTATCTTAGTCTTCCAATATATTTAATAGTCTTGTAAACAAAATAACTGCAACACATATGCATTTTAATTCACAAACAAAGATAGATGTAGATGTCTATGGGCCACAGCAACCACTTACCATCAAGTGGAATGTGTGCTTGTTTTGTCACCCTTATTCTATAAAAAAAAAACTATATATTTTTATTATATATTTTTCAGAATGGTAACAATGGATGTCAATATAGTAGACCAAGCTAAAAATAAGGCACAAATGGAAACAATGTTCGAAATGGATGTGGATGAGCAGGATAATTTATCAGAGACATTAGACTACTGTATGTTGGAAGTGCTGAAATGGTTGGAGAATGAGAGGGAACCAGTACTTAATATCATGTGTAATGTGTTTGAGAGAGTTATATTACCCACACATGGAATAAGGTTATAATAATTTTATAATTACAGTTTATTTTAATAATGTACATATATTTTAGCTGAATGAGGTGTAATGTAAAAGGCATGTAAAAAATTCTACTGCTATATTCTATTATAATAACTATTCAATGGTGTCCAAAACTTGAAATTTTAATTTTTTAGAATCTACGGTAATTAACAAATGATACTAGGCAATTGACAAATGGCAGTATGTATAATAAAACCTTTAAACACAGAAAAACTTTATCAAGGTTGCATACATTTTTGCTAAAAAATGTTTTGAGTCTATTAAAGGGACTGTATATATCTGCACTATCTACACTATATATCTGCCTTTAAGTAGACTCAAAATAATAATAAATAAAATTAGCTGAATAAATATGTCCAATAAGGAATAATATGTCTTAGCTGGTAAAATATCTTTTTGCATGCCTCCTAACATATATAGTATCCTAGTTCAGGATTCTGGGCATCAATGAAGTGCATAAAATAAAGATTCATTACACCCACCAGATGCTTTGGTGTTGGCTGGGTCCTCTCGGACTCGGCAAGTTACATTGGAAAAAAAAGGTATTAAAATAAAGATTTCTTATTATATTATATTATTATGTGAAAATCTTCAAAAGATTTGTGCATAATATATACTAATTGAAATAGAATAAACTCTAAAACTAGGTTATCTCATAGTTGTAATCAGGGTTGGCATGAATAAATCATTTTGATTTAAATCACGATTTAAATCAAATGATGTTTTCAACAAAAATCAATGATTTAATCAAAAATGTTTAATTTCACTTTCTTTCATAGAAATCAACATAAAAAACTAGTTTTCCAGCCTTTTCAATTCCCAGTCAGTTTATAAATTTGCTCTGAACAATTCCAAAGGTGGAAAACACTCTTTCCACAGCAGCTGAAGAAGCCCCAACCTCTTCACTAAATATACTTTTCTGTGACATCCACCACACTAGTTGTGCCACATTTTTTACAATTTCTTCTGTGAACATCACACTTCTAAATGGTCTTGCAGAAAATATAAATCTTTTATATTAAGTATAAATACCTAATAATCATCAACATTTAATAATAATGAAAATTTTATTGTAAATTATAATATAGTGTACATATTGAATTAATAAACTTTTATATACGCTTAGCTCTTAAAGACATTTTAATGCTAGAGTCTTGTTCCTATTAAAGTATGAAGATGTGTTTATTTAATTAAAATTTCACGCGTAATATTTAAACAATAAAATTAACATCATCTGATTAAAAATAAAAATTCAATACAAAAATAAGTAATATTTTAACTGTTAATTTTATCTCTTAAAAAAATTTACGAGTAACTTAACAAATAAATAAATTTAACCATTAATACAATGTCTAATTCACACACAAGAAAAAAGGGAAATCCCCGCGCTGTGTTCACGCAATTCCTTGAGGGCGCGTTTCGTATTGCGAAAAAAATATAGTCAAATTAAATAATAAAATCAAAAAATCAAAAAAATCGTGATTAATTACGATTTTATAAAAAAATCGTGCTTTATTCGATTTTTTTTAAATCATGATTTTTTTCCAACCCTGGTTGTAATATAATATAAGGTAATGGCACCTATAGATGACACATTAAGGATTTTTTTCTATATCTTGCACCGTGGAAACCACAAATTACAGAATTTCTCATGACTGTTAGTGCTCAAACAGGCTTTGAGTATTTGTCTATCAGCTAGAAAGTTTTCAGCGCCCTGCGTTTACATAGATGTAATGGAACTAATTTTTTTTTAATCACTCAATTAGCCCCTATAGATGACATTCAAAATTCGTTCGGTTCCTAAAGATGACAATGACGGCACCTAAAGATGACATAGGTTTCTGTGTAAATTAAAAAGCCAAATTAGCAAAAATAATAACACATTTATTTTAATTAGAATAAAGAAATTAAAGATTTGCAACCTGGGGCACATCATAAATCTCCCTAGTTGAACTAAATTTGGTGGGCGTTTTTATTTTGCCCACAACATCGTCCCAAGCATAAAATAACCGATCCTCCCTTTGAGGCCATTTCCACAGTCGCCCATGACGCACCATGGCAGTCACGACGACTCCATCTTCTTTGACAACGATTATCCTACCAGGAAAAATCTTATTTTCGTATCTTACGGCAACATACTCCCCAACCTCCTTCCTTGGGGCTTGCAGCTCATTATCAGAGGATCCTGAGCTTTTTTCATCCCATTCACCTCCAGACGACGATTTCAAACTCCCAGCTTCGTCATTTGATGAAGCATCTGAATCTTCACTTTCTTTAGTTTTTCTAGAAGAGGTAAAGAGGCGCCTCGCGGCTTTTTTGCACTTCTCGTCCTCTTTTTCTTGCCTCTTTTTAAGCCTAGCCGCCAATCGTTTTTGTTTCTCCTCATCTTTCTGTTTCTTCAGATTTAACTTTTTCTGGTGATACTCCTGCCACTGAGGGGATGAAATCACCGAAGGGATTTTTTCCTTCGACCTTCTCTTTTTCGGTACCGTACTTTCCTTTGGCCAGAAAAGGCATCTTTTAAAAGGCGACGGGATATAAGATGATGTAGAAGGAATAGGAGTTCCCGAAGCCTCTAAAGGATCAGAAACTTCCAAAGGAGCAGGAACTTCCATTCCGTCTTCAACAGTATCTAAAGGAACAGAAACTTCTAAAGGGACAGGAATTTCCATTCCATCTTCAACAGGATCTAAAGAAGCAGAAACTTCCAAAGGAGCAGGAACTTCCATTCCGTCTTCAACAGTATCTAAAGGAACAGAAACTTCTAAAGGGACAGGAATTTCCATTCCATCTTCAACAGGATCTAAAGGAGCAGAAACTTCCAAAGGAGCAGGAATTTCCATTCCGTCTTCAACAGGATCCTCTGCATTTGCTAAAGGGGCTTCCAAAATAGTCACAGTATTTTTTTCTAATCCTGTTGTCACCTTCTTCCATAGCTCGTACAGGGAATGGTCGGTAACAGGGATGGAATCTTTATTCCCACTAAAAGAAGCAATTTTTTCTGCCCCGATTACTGTCTTCAGCCACGGAATACAATTAGGACAGCACAAATTAGTTTCTGTATTGGGTTCAGTTGCCTTCGGTGGCGCAGCAGGCCTAACAGTGACTTCCAAAGGGTTCCATGGCACTAACCCACATTTTTTGAACCCATTTGCCAAAATTTCTGGCCGATACACATCCAATAAAAGTTGATCAAGTAAGGCGCAAAAATTACTTTTTGACACTTCACCACCGCTTAATCGATGTTGTAAAGCTTTCTCCTTCCACGAAGCTTTCAGCGTATGAAATACGGAGACGTCCATCGGTTGCAGCAAATGGGTAGCGTTGGGGTATAAGGCCACTAAAACGATGTCATTTTGGCTGCAAAGCTGACTAACCTCCATAGATAGATGGGAGACGTGGCCATCGACAAAAAATAGTACTGGCCGCACTATCTTTTCTTTTTCCAGCCATGGAATGAACTGGTTTCCAATGTACTCATAAAAAATTGCGCAGGTCATCCATCCCTGCTCACTTTTTCCTATAGCCCATGATGTGGGCACATTTACGGTGATATGGAGCGGAATACGTGTATAACGGAAGACTACCAAGGGTGGTGCAAGATCTCCATTAGCATTGCCCGTAAAGAGAACTGTAATGCACTCTTTCTCGTTATTACCAACCGCTTGATAAATATTTTTACAACCGCGTTCAGCCATAACTTTTCCGGCTTTTGGTTGCAAGAAAAATGCTGTCTCATCAGCGTTAAATACGCGTTTGGGGTCATCCAAGACGCTCGCCAATCCGTTTCCCTCTAAATACGTATAAACGTCATTCTTCCAGCCGTCTAATTGTTCGTTTGTTATTGAGCTCCTGCTCTTTGTTAAATTTTGGGCAACGCGATTAGAAATCCGAGGGTGTCTACTCATAAAACTGCCATACCACTTTTTGGATGGAACCCTATCACGGAAAATGTCCTTCCCTAATTGAGCGGCTAATCTTTGCATGCTTATTAAAAAGGTTCCTTTCGAAACGGGAAATCCTTTTCTCGCTAATTCAAGGACCCATTCCTCAATTTTCAGTTCCTCATCGGCCGTAAAAGCCGTACGGGCTCCCATTTTTCTTGATATTGGGTTGATCCCTTTGACCTTGCTCCGAAGTGTAGAGCGGGGTATTTTGTACTTCTTAGCAGCCGCGTACACAGGAACCCCACGCATCACGTCATCCAGGGCTTTTGTCATAACTTCTTCATCATACTGCAGAATTTTTGTGGGAGGCATCGTCTTCATTCACCTAAAAAAATAAAAAGTTACTTAGGGTTACGTATGCATAACCTAAAGATGACACGCTAAGAACCTAAGGATGACATAGCTGTCAGCTTAAGGTTCCTGGACAACTATTGCACCGAAATAAAAATTCTACATATTCTTTTTATTTTTTAACTTCTATAGCACTGAAGCATCAATCGGGGCTAAAAAACTTTAAGATGACAATACGATCATCTTTAGGAAACTGCGCCTCTTAAGGAACCTAAACATGACACCGCCTTTGCAACCCCAACCCATAACCAAAATGACTGTGCAAAGCGCTTTGTTGTGAAATTAAGTCTAACAATGACAAAAACTTATTTAGGTAAGTATATCATTGCGATAAATATCGAGATAAAAAAACTTAAATAGTAAATACACTTACCTTAACCAAATCACTAGAATTGAAGCGAAAAACAGCAAATGATACAACCACAAACATAAACAAGACCGTATTATGGAAACCACAATGGCGTTTGATTGTTTTGTTATGTTGTCTCCAGTGAGAAGAATCAGTGTTGTCAGTGCAACAAATAAAATTCCCGCTACTTTTTTAAAACTCTTGTTTTTTGAAAGGTTATGAGACACTGTCATCTTTAGGTGGTATGTCATCTATAGGTGCCATTACCTTACCATAAGCCGAAGCTCTTCTCCTTAAATTTCATATTATGCAAGCTACTAAGCTATATCCCTACCAGCATATCATATCAACAGGAATTAGATTTTTCAAGTGACAGCCTTATACCAGAGATTAAAGTGTAGGGCAGCCCCCACTAGGTGAAGGTAAACCGTGCAGGAAGTCATTGGTAGCAACAGGTGGGTCAGACTGTCTTGTGGTGTTTTTATTGGGGAGGCCTATGTTCGGCGTTAGACTTGTGACGAGCTGTCATGATGACAATGAGAATATAATATCCTAACTCTCTCTCTTTCTCTAAAATTAGCCTGCCAAACTTTCATTATAATGAAACATGTTTCCAAACGTAACATATAATATTGTGTAAACTGTAACTTTAGCTATATTTCCTGCTGTGCAACATCTTTTTGAATTCATAAATTTTTGAGTTCATATTTTGCAAATGTTATGATTTTTGTTTTCCAGGCATGTTCAATTCCTTCTCTTATATACAATATCTATAAGTCAGCAATGCGCCGACCGTGTTTTTACCAATCTATGGATGATAGCAGCAGGCTTGCATGGTACAGGGCCTGGGGCATTGGCGACCAGACGTACAGCAACTAGCCATTTGGCTGGTCTCTTAGCGCGTTGCGTGCGAGTTTCTAACAGTAGACTCGTACACTACCTGAAAAGCATGGCAGAATGGTGCCATTCATATCTAACTGCTACCCAGGAATCCACAGCTGTGAATGATAATACAAAAGTGCACGGTGCATTCCATGCCATATGCCATGCAATTTTCTACCTAGTTGCATTTAAAAATCATCATCTTTTTGCTACTAAAGAAAGTGAGTATTTTATCAAACTATTGGTATAAAATGATTTCTTATGTTTACACAAACACTATCTTAAACATTTAAATACGTCTTACGACATTCACGAAACGAAGTGTCATTTTTTTCTGATTGAATTCTCGTACGTCGCCAACACATGTCAAGGATTATCTAAGGTAAATGAGAGATATTCCTAAATCTAAAATTTATTAGACAATTTAAATAAAACTAGTTTTTACGGATTTTATCGCGTATATTAACTTATTTTACATTCCCGACGTTTCGAGCACTTACAGCACCCATAGAAAGTTCTGTACTCTATACTGAAGTGTTCGACGTCCTTATATCATAGTTAACCACGGCTACCTCCAGATTAAAATTATTAATTTTTGTTCCAATCTACGCAACAAAATCTACAAAAGAAAAAGAAAAATCGTCATTAACAATTATAACTTTATCGCACCTAAGAAGTACCATTATTTTTGTTTTTTTATTGTACTGCATTATTTACTCCTATTATCAGTATTACCAATTATACAAGCATTTACAAAAACTGTGACTCATATTGGTCAAAAATAAATTTAAAAAATTCACACATTCAATATAAATTTCAATATTCTTAAACAGTGGTAGAGCCACGCGCAGCTTTCGCTGTCGCACGGATGGGCCGGCTCGATCCGGGGTGGTACCACGACCTCACAGAATACCAGCGTGAAGTAGAGGTTTACCTCTGCATTTCGCTTGGTGAGTGCAGGTGGCCGGAGGCCCTTTTTACTGGAAATGAGGCATTCCATCTTAGTCCTCACGGGTGACAACGCATCTGCATTTTGATTCGCAAGCGAGGATAGATGTAGATGTCTATGGGCCGCAGCAACCACTTACCATCAGGTGGACTGTGTGCTCGTTTGTCACCCTTATCTTATAAAAAAAAAAAAATATTTACTTATTATTAAAAGATAATAACACTTAATTCAAGATCTACAGAGAAGTATTTACACCATTTCTGAACTAATATGATTTATTCTACTTCTTTCCAGATTTAAACTTTGTAGAATCCCTAAACTTGCCCCGTCTGGTAACTTGTGCACTGAATCCTCTACGTACATGTCCACCACAAGTAACTCGAGCCTTCTCTTCATTGACCCGCTCCCATCAGGTTGTATACTGTCAGGCTATCATTGAAAAGAATATGAGGCATACTATACAAAGCAGCACTGTGGAGCAGTATGATGAATGGTTCCCTTATGACCCCTATACATTGCCCAGGCAAGTTTTAAGATCAACATTATTTCTACTCTCTATATTTTGTATGTTTAGATATACCAAATTATATGAGACAGGTAATCAAATATATAATAGCTATGCTTCAGCATATTATGGCTGCAGCATGAATAAGTTGTGTCAACAGGAGAAAGACGTTTTTGCACTGAACACCAGTGTAAAATATCAGCATGATGCTTCTGTGTTTCGTATGGTGTGTGATGAGAGCTGGGGACCCCTTTTACTGGTAACAAAGTATTCCATCTTTTTCCTTAATGGTGCATTGCATACATTGCTGTTACATATGTGCATTTGGTGCATTCCTAATTGAGGATAGATGTAAGTGTCTATGGGCACACAACCACTCACCAACTCATCTAGTACGTAACTCATCACTCATCAACTAGACTATCGGCCAAATACTCAAACGCTACTCAATTTTAAGATGTTAAGTCTCGTGCTGTCTCTATCACTTTGAATTAAAGTGATAGAGACAGCACGAGACTTAATGGCATCTTAAAATTGAGCAGCACTTGAGTATTTGGGCATGTGTGCTTCCGTGTCTCCTTTTTTTTTATAGGATTAAGGGTGACAAACGAGCACACAGTCCACCTGATGGTAAGTGGTTGCTGCGACCCATAGACATACAAATCAAAATGCAGATGTGTTGTCACCCGTGAGGACTAAGATGGAATGCCTCATTTCCAGTAAAATGGGTCTCCGGTTCTCTACACTCAATCATACAAAACACAGCAGCTTTAAGCTGCTATTTTACGCTGGTATTCTGTGAGGGCGTGGTCCTTCCCCGGTCGAGCCGACCCATTCGCACTACAACTATACTACTAATATAGCTGCAGCATGGCTCTACCACGTAAAAACCGTCCATAGAGATAAAATATAAGTTAAAATTTAGAATGTGTCTAACATTTAAAGGTTTTCTCTGTAAAGCAATGAATATGCCAAGCAACTTATCATATCACACTATTAATAATTGCTCATTAGTAATTGCCTGTTTAGTATTACTGTATAGTAGCCACTATTCTGGGACTTTCCAATATGACCATGGTTTGCAGACATGGTAAATAGGTAACACTATAAATGACCATTTGCTAAACTCAGCTCTTTCATTGAAAGGATATGGAGAAGGTAATGTCCACCATACTGATGTGGCTGATCCATGTATCATTGCTTTAGACAATACTAACAACATTATTGTTTTAAGTACTACCAAAGCCTATTGATGATGAACTGTTGGGGATACTATTAACATATAGTGACAATAGTGTTCTTGTTCCTGTTGGTTAAAAGTTTACTATGTTAGTCGATCAGCAGATGCAACATGTTAATGAATTTTTCATTATTGTCGAAATATTTATTTTTTATTTTTCAACTAAATAGTTTTATTAGTGCCAGTATTGACGATCAAACTTTGGATTTTTTCTGATTTAAATCCTTGGCCGTCATTAGGTTACCCTACTTACTACTTGGTGTCTATTATCATACGATAATAGATACAAGTCAAGTCAACCCAATAATTGTGACCTTATTCAAAACTTTGTATATACATCATTTATAACTTCCTTTTACAGATCAGGGCAAACAATTTGGCCTTTGTGCATAGAATACAAAGACTGGCTAAAAGATGGTGATGATGAAACTCAGTACTCTAGCATCAAAAGAAAATTAGATGCCGAAGATGATGATTATCTGGTTTCAAGTCCCACACAGAAACTCGCTAGTTCGTTGTCAAGTTACATTTTACCAGGTTTCAAAACAAGCGAAAGCATTATGATGTAAAAATATAAAACATGCTGATGTATTGAAACTGAGTATATAAAATTTTGTTATTGCTGACGACTGATTACATAAAATAGTGATATAGTTATAAGCTTTCTTGTTTTTGTTTTTTGTACTATTAATGGCTAGTATTTTAGGAAAAAGTTACACTATAATGTAAACAAAGCATGTTCCGATATACACTGTGGCCACTGTAAGGTGTGACGTCAATTCAGTATATTACTCTGAAGCCTTTCCTTTTTAGTTTGCTATACTGGTTACTGTTTAAAATGGAACACAGTCCAGTATACTGTCATCCCTATTTTTCGACACTGCTTTCAAATGAAAATATTTATCATGTATATGTTTTCTGTTCAACAAGAAAAATTATTATTTGAATGTTGTTGCTCTTAAAACTTAATGTCCGAGTTTATTTGAATAACAATATTAATTAGTAATAATAGCAATCATTCGTGGAAGATGTTAAATCTCTAGGCGCTGTTACGTTTTTTGATCATGTGATCAAAGTACTGAGAGCACCTTACCTCGAAAGCGCCAGTGCTCACAGTACAAAATGGCGGCGATTTATGACGTCATATATTTCCCTAAAGGTGATATCAAACGGTTCACTCAAATGATTGTTCACTCGAGTGAATGCTTCATTTTTTTTTTCATTTTATGTTCACACGGCTTAGACGAAATGATACAGAAATGAACATTCATTGTTCTTTCTTTTAAATATGTCATCGAATGAAGTCGTACGTCTTGGAATTAGTTTAATTTGTGATCATTTAATCAAAGAGTTGACATAAAAGAAGCATAGAAAACGTCGACGGTGGTGGGTGCGACCATGGATTGCAAGAAGAAATTTATTAGGAGCTTCCAATACATTGTTGAGAGAACTAGCCGTTGAAGATCCTGATTCATATTGTAATCATCTTCGAATGGATGAAAGTAAATTTGAAGAACTTCTACTTCTTGTTGCTTCGTTAATAACGAAAGAAAACACTTTAATGAGAGATAGCATACCTACCCAGATAAAACTTCAAATTGTACTGAGATACCTGGCTACAGGTGATAGTTTTGGAAGTTTAGAGTTTTTGTACAAGAGTACCTCGAAATACAATATCCTACTTTTTTCAAGAAGTATGTGAAGCCATTTGGACAGCCCTTGGAAAGGTTATTAAGGTCAGTTATATCTATTTAATAAAATATTAAGTTATTTTCTTGAAACATTTTAATTCAGACAATCAACATTTACATAATACTTTTTTAGAGCTTGTGAGAGTATGTTTTCTTGCTCTTGGTTGGATGTTTGGACAATTGTGACTTGATTGGTCTCTTGTGGTGAACTCACGGGTACAGGCACTGGTTGTGGTTGCGTATAAACTTGTTTGGTGACAAGGTAGTTACTATAATTATACTCCGGTGTTGTATTTTTTGGTATAGAGGCGACTGGTTGATAGTAAATGGGGATGGAGTGCTGGAGTCCGAGTAAATTACTTCAGGAAATGATTGTGACATCTGTGTTAACCGTTCCTGAGTCATCACAGATTGAAGTTTTTCCTGACATATCAAAGCCCTGTTCAAGGGCATTTTCTTGAGTTGTACTGCCAAACTTTTGCAAAACAAATCAAACTCATCTTCAGTTTGGACTTTGGCTTGCTCGCTTATAGTTTTTAATTCTTTAATTGCTCTATCAATCGGTATATCAATCTTCCTTTTCTTGTTTGTTGGATTTCGAGAATATGAAGGAGTCATCAATTCACTACTTCCATTCCTACTAATCTCAGAATTTGGCGTCTTCTGTTCCTCACTGCCAGCTTGAGTCTGCTCAGATTCAGCAGAGTCTTCATTTTGAGTCTGTGGTGCATCCTGTAATTAAAATGTTGACACTTTTATTATTACAGGTTCCTGGAAGTCAACATGAATGGAATAACATAATGGAAGACTACTATAGATTATGGAACTTTCCAAACTGTTGTGGTGCAATGTATGGAAAATTGGTGAATATAAGATGCCCAGGAAGATCAGGCTCTGAATATTTCGACTACAAAAAGAATTTTAGTATTCATCTATTTGCAGTAGTAGATGCGAATTATAATTTTATTTATATAGATGTTGGGACAAACGGAAGGGCAAATGATGCATCCGTCTTTAATAAATTAACACTGAATGAAGCTTTGTTGTCGAATCTTCTAAATTTCCCAAAGGAAGGCGTAATCGTCGCAGATGATGCCTTTCCTTTGCGGACGGATGTTTTGAAACCATATAATACTAGAGGAGAGTTTGACGATAAACAAAAAATATTTAACTATCGGCTGTCAAGAGCTCGACGAGTGGTCGTAAACTCTTTTGGAATATTAGTATCAAAATTTCGAATCTATGAAAAGGCGATTCCATTGTCAGTGCAAAAAGTTGAACAACTTGTTAAAACGACGTGTGCATTACATAATTGGCTCAGAAAAACTACAGTGGACTATGTGCAACAACGATCACTGGAAACTGAGGATTGGGTCACAGGGTCCATTGTACCTGGAGAATGGCGAGAAGTACCATCTTTAGCATTAAGCGATTTACCACCAACCAATGCAAGAAATCATAGTGAAAATGCCCGCCGCGTGCGTGACGTATATGCAGAAAAGTTCGTCACTTCATGCACTGTACCATGGCAATGGAACATGATAAGAAGAATATGATGTAATAATACTGAATAAACCTATACAATTCATATACGTTGTTTTTGTTTGAGTATAAGTATTAAGTAGGTACCTACCTAGCTTCTGTTCACGTAGTGGTCGCTTATCGAACAGACAGACAGAGTTACTAGGATATGGATTAATATTATGGATATGGATTAGTATGGATTGATAAAAGATTCTACTTACGAGACTTGATGTACTCTGCCGTGGGACGCATACACTGCTTAAAAATTCTGCATGTTTAAACCAGTACAGGGTCGGTACATAGACATCGTCAGAAGAGCAACCGCTTTTAGTAGACTGCTTTATTTTAGTTAATTCTGTCTTGATGTACTCTGCCGTGGGACGCATACACTGCTTAAAAATTCTGCATGTTTAAACCAGTACAGGGTCGGTACATAGACATCGTCAGAAGAGCAACCGCTTTTAGTAGACTGCTTTATTTTAGTTAATTCTGTCTTGATGTACTCTGCCGTGGGACGCATACACTGCTTAAAAATTCTGCATGTTTAAACCAGTACAGGGTCGGTACATAGACATCGTCAGAAGAGCAACCGCTTTTAGTAGACTGCTTTATTTTAGTTAATTCTGTTGTATACCGGGTCCTTATCGTTTTTATTTTATGTTTAATATCTTCTTCAGTAATCTCTAAGTTTAAATCACTGATTAGAGATTTAATAGAGTTTGCCCGCATTGTTCGGTCTTTGTATTCATCATTTTTGTGGTTCCAAAGGCATTGATAATTTTTAAAGTTCTCCAAAAAAAGTAATGTATTTTGATCGTTCCACTTGAACACCATTTTGCCGCATGAAAACAATATAATAACACACAGAAAAAAATATAACTTCGTCGACAACGTGATGTCCGTCGGCTACAGGACTCGAAACAAAATGGCCGAATCCGAATGAACGTTCTCTCAGTGTTCAGACCGTTCATTTCTCGTGCATTCGGAGTGGGAATGAAAGATACCGGATGCCAATATCCAACACTGTTGGATCGGTTCACTAATGAATTCATTCGCCACTCGTGTTACATTTTTTGTTCAGACATTTCATTTCGAGTGAAATGTACCGAATGAAAGGTGAAAATGAACAAAAAATGAACCGTCTGATATCACCTTAAGGAACTGCGGCAGTATACTGGCAGTCCATAACGGAACGAATTTTTCACCAGTGGAAGCAGAGTAGTGCTCGCAGTGTATATCGGAACATACCCATAATAAAGAAATAGCATTATCTAATTTTTAAGTTTAACAGTACCTACAGATCTCCTAAACTGATATTTAAATGTTATAATCTACTTATTTAAAATTATACTGTAAATAAAAGATATTATAAATCAATGTATGAGATTCTTTGTTCTTTTTATTATGTATCTTAAAAATATTAAACTTAAAATTATTTAACATACATGCTGTTTTATAAATAATTGTTTTCTAAGTAACAAGTTGTTTTTAATTCTTGTTTAACAGTAACATTTCTGATTCGGCGTAAAGATAACAGGAAGTGTCAATAATAGTGTAGTGGCAAGAATATTTGTCACTAGATTAATTTGGAATAAGTCTTCCAGTTTTGATTTGGTACCTGTTACAGATGTGTGGTATGGTAGCTTGCACAAAAGTAGTAACTGTTGTGCATATAATTTATCAAGTAAACACTGATTTTTTTATTACTCGCTTTAGTCCTTACGTCAGCGCCCACCCTTTTGCCCCTCGCCACAAAACGCTCATCTCAGCGGTGACCATATTTTCGCCGCATAGACAATGTTTAAGGTCTCATTTTCATAATTTAATTACTATTATTTACAAGAGTTGATAATGCAAACTACCAAAACTGTATGAACTGTTAAATATCAGGTCTTTAAAGATGTGCAGATTGAAAAAATTACTATAAGAGCGATGACGTAAGAGAATCCTCATTTATCCTGTGTAGATGTAAGAAGCTATATTAGATTGTGATATAAAGCGGTATAATCTCCATATTGTTTACGATTGACGTAAAATAAAAAAAACTAAACCGAAGGAACAAGAATGAGCTGCGTCACACACGCGGAACATCTGGTACTGAAATCTCCAATTCGCCTAATGATTTCTTATATTTACGCGAACACTACACATTTTTAAATAAAACTAATTTTACGGATTTTATCGCGTATATTAACTTATTTTTAACTTATTTTTATATTCCCGACGTTTCGGGTGCTTTCCAGCACCCGTGGTCACGGGGGACGGAGTTGTTTGACGTCCTGTTGTCATAGTTAGCCCGGCTACCTTCAGTTTTTTAATATTAATTTTTGGTTCGATTTACGCAGAATGAGCTTACAGTATCTTGAAGTCTAGCAGTGGTATACTTGGGTTTGGATTTGATTTTATTAATTATGGGATCCCAAGCAGATGGCAGCACCCATCCATCTTCTCTATTGAAATTAGGATGTTTTTTAATTTCAATAGCCTCGCGAATCATCCTTGGGAGGAATCGGTGTTCTTTTGCGAGGATTTGTGGTCTATCAAATCTAATGTAATGACGGGGACGATCCTGAACATGTTCACAAACTGCAGACTTCCCGATACGTCGGTGCTTCACGTCAGCTATATGTTCTTTAACGCGGGTTTTAATAGATCTTTTTGTTTGTCCTATGTACGAGAGACCACATTCACAATCCAGCTTGTACACTCCTGCATCTTGTAGAGGGATATGACACTTGACGGATGGTAAAAATTGACCAATCTTCTTCAGCGGCTTGAAGTACGTTTTAATGGAAGCTCGCTTCAAGATGTAGCCAACCTTGTCTGTGACTCCTCTGACATAGGGTAGTACAGCAGGCACACGCTCGACTGTGGCTGGCTTCACTCGGTCACTGTGACGTAGGCGCGGGACCCGAAGCTTGTTGTCTTGCAGTACTTGCTCGACGTGCTGAAGCTCGGCGGCCAGATGTTTTCTGTCACAGATCCCTCGTGCTCTCTGAAACAAAGATTTTCCCACGGTAGCTAACTGTGAAGGATGATGGTGAGATTCACCATTTAAATATCGGTTGGTATGGGTATTTTTTCTGTACACAGTATGACCAATAGTGTTATCAGGATTTCGGATGACTAAAACATCTAGAAAAGCTAAAGTATTGTTTGCCTCTAACTCCATTGTGAATTGTATTTTAGGGTTTATGGAATTAAGGTGGTTTAAAAAAATGCAGTTACTTTGTCAGATGGTAAAATTGTGAAAGTATCGTCTACGTACCGCTTGTAGAATCTTGGATTTACAGGAGCAGTAAGAAGGGCTTTCTCCTCAAAGTCCTCCATGAATATGTCGGCGACTACGGGAGATACAGGTGAGCCCATTGCCACTCCGTCTACTTGCATGTAGAACTCTTCTTTCCACAATAAATAGCCAGATGTGAGGCAGTGTTTGAGTAATACTGCATATTCTGTAGGCATGTTGTTATCTTCTAGCTTTCTAGTAACAATTGAGATGCAGTCTTCAATAGGTAGGCATGTGAATAGTGACTGAACATCAAAACTGACCATAGTTTCATTGTCAGCGAGATGTAGGTCTTTAATCTCACTAACAAATTGGTATGAATCCTTTGTGTGTGCTCTGGTATGTCCTCTTAGTGGTGACAGTATTTTTGCCAAGTGTTGAGCCAACTTATAAGTTGGTGAATCGATCTGGCTTACTATAGGACGTAGTGGAGCATTTGGTTTGTGTATTTTCGGTAACCCATACAACCTCGGTGGTTTGGCACATGATGGTATTGTCGAATTCACGTCAAGATCTAATTTTTCGGAGTATTTCTTTATTAAATCAGTGGTTGTTTTGAGTGTATTAGTTGTAGGGTCTATTTTGACCTTTTTGTATGTACTTACGTCCGATAAAAGTTGTTGTATTTTGAAATTATACTCTGACGTGTCCATTATTACCGTAGCATTTCCTTTATCCGCGCGGAGAATCGTGAGCTCGGGTCTGTTGCGTAAGTTGTACAACGCTTTAAATTCGTCTTTCGGAAGATTTAGTTTCGGCGCTGAACTTCGACGTAACAAGGACGAAATGTCTTGACGTATAGCCTCTAAATCCTCTTTACCGATATTATTCTTAAACAGACAATCCTCAACACTACAGATAATTTCCTCGTACGGGATTTTTTGCGGCGTTATAGCAAAATTTAAGCCTTTCGACAATACTCTTATTGTTGGTTCGTCCAGTGTTTCTTTTGACAAATTATAGACCGTGCGTTGTTTATTGTTTGCGTCTGTGGTCAACGGTTGTTGCGTTTCGTTTCTACGTTGACATGGATGTTTGGCATTTGATTTGATAGTTAATTTTTGGTATTTTTCTATTTGTTTGTCTTTGCATTCATTATATTTCGATATTTCGCGTTTGTTTAAAGTTTCAATGCAATTATTAAAATCAAATGTCGTTAAAACGGTCTTTAACTCACTGGACAAATTGTCTATGGTATTATTTATGATTTGTAAATCGAACCGTTTTTGCTGAATCACCGTTCGTAACAACTTTTTACTTGCCTGATTTAAGATCTTAGCGCTTCCTCGAATGTCCTTTTTAGTAGATATTTTGACACACGTAGGAATGAGCTGGTGGTCGCGGCACCTTTTCAGAAAATTCAACGATGTTACATATCTTGCGCGCTTGGTCATGAGATCTTCTAATCGGCGAATTTTATTTGCAATTACCAGTCCGTACTGGTTTACATAATGATTTCTTATATTTACGCGAACACTACACATTTTTAAATAAAACTAATTTTACGGATTTTATCGCGTATATTAACTTATTTTTAACTTATTTTTATATTCCCGACGTTTCGGGTGCTTTCCAGCACCCGTGGTCACGGGGGACGGAGTTGTTTGACGTCCTGTTGTCATAGTTAGCCCGGCTACCTTCAGTTTTTTAATATTAATTTTTGGTTCGATTTACGCAGAATGAGCTTACAGTATCTTGAAGTCTAGCAGTGGTATACTTGGGTTTGGATTTGATTTTATTAATTATGGGATCCCAAGCAGATGGCAGCACCCATCCATCTTCTCTATTGAAATTAGGATGTTTTTTAATTTCAATAGCCTCGCGAATCATCCTTGGGAGGAATCGGTGTTCTTTTGCGAGGATTTGTGGTCTATCAAATCTAATGTAATGACGGGGACGATCCTGAACATGTTCACAAACTGCAGACTTCCCGATACGTCGGTGCTTCACGTCAGCTATATGTTCTTTAACGCGGGTTTTAATAGATCTTTTTGTTTGTCCTATGTACGAGAGACCACATTCACAATCCAGCTTGTACACTCCTGCATCTTGTAGAGGGATATGACACTTGACGGATGGTAAAAATTGACCAATCTTCTTCAGCGGCTTGAAGTACGTTTTAATGGAAGCTCGCTTCAAGATGTAGCCAACCTTGTCTGTGACTCCTCTGACATAGGGTAGTACAGCAGGCACACGCTCGACTGTGGCTGGCTTCACTCGGTCACTGTGACGTAGGCGCGGGACCCGAAGCTTGTTGTCTTGCAGTACTTGCTCGACGTGCTGAAGCTCGGCGGCCAGATGTTTTCTGTCACATAAAATCCGTAAAATTAGTTTTATTCCAATTCGCCTGCCAAATGTGAGTGAGTATTGAGGTAAATTGTCCTAAAAAGAGAGTATCATGTCCAGCAGTGAACTTTATGGCACACATTTTTGTGCAAAATTATATTTTGAATACCTTGCTTTCTCCACAGTGCGACTGTGGAGAATATTGCGTTAACTGCGAGAATGTCGAAATAAAATACTTTTTTTCGCTTAAATTGTTTAATTATTATGATTTGAAATGTTAATGATGGCTCCAGCATGTCTTAAGACTCAATGTTTTTATTTACAATATATATAAACGTTTATCTTACTAATAATAATTGAAGTCTCAAAAATCTGCAACTGGATTAATTGATATAAATATGTATACAAATACATATTTATTAATAATAATCACATAAATGTTTTAAGTCCGTTGGAAGTAAGTAGGAGGGTAGTGGATGGTACCGACAACCCATCTTACAGCCAGTTAGTACATAAGTGTTACATTCCTTCAAAAAACACTAAAAGATTTATGTGAATAGTACAAGCAAAAACTTCATTTATTCTTTCATATTATCGACATTTATTTATGCTTAAAAGTATTATCGGTTTTGGTTCTTAATTTTTTTACAGATTGGTTTTCCATGAAGATTTATTCAATTATTTTATTTTTTTGTACTAGAATACAAGTAGATTTTAGTTTTATTCTATCTGTATTTTTAAATGACCTACCTAACAACCTAAACTGTTTGAGATGTTAATATTAATGGCAATAAATAAAATTGTTCCTGTTCACCTCTTCAAACCTATTAATAAGCTATTAGCTCTGAGCTTGAGCCATATAAACAATTTACACTTGTGTATGTTATAATTCATATCAATTGATTAAGACAAAATTTGATTCTAGTGAACACACTCCTGGTGTTAGATTTTACATTAAAAGGCTAGCAATTAACAACTTACACCTAAAATTACATTTAATTCAACATAAAAGCAGGTTATGGAGAACACTTTTTGCTACAAATAAGTAAAAAAGAAATTTAATACTGTTAATTTTAAACAATTGCATGGACACTAAGTTTGTTACATATATACTTTCCAGTACTCTCTACATTTGGCTAATTAAAACGAAATTTTTCCTCAAACTAAACTAACATACTATTAAACAATAAAGTAAATAATTTCCAAGATGTAGTTAGTCTATTCCTTAAATAAACTCCCAAAGGCAAGTGTCAGTTTACACAAATATGTCGTGGGCACTGTAATTATATGTTGTAAGTGATATACTAAGTGTTCACGGCATTTTCTTTTGTTATGTCATTGCATTATCTTCTTAACATAAAATTTGATAAAGAACATTAAACTTAGAAGAGAGGGATATGCAAGTTCATGTTTGAAATAGGCTAAAATAATATTTATTAAAATTGCAATATTAACCCATAAATGTGCTTTGTACTTTCCAGAACATTCCTGTTTTAGTGCAATCATAGATTGTATTTTTATATGATAATGTCTCAACATATTATGTTAGAAATACTAATTTACACACAGGATATTTATAATATATAATTGTAATATTTTCTATCACTTCGTCAAAATTTTACATTTGTAGAGAATATTTCACAGCCAGTGATCTGGTTGAGGAGCGTCTACTTTTGAGAAAATTGATTGAAACTTAATTACATATAAAAAATATTCGAGGTTTGTGCTGAAATTTTACAATTATCGTAAATAAAATAGTAAGAAATGCAATTACAGCAGCATGACAGATATCTTTCTCTCGGACAAAGCTGTACTGGAGCTAACCCCGCTTCACATACACATACGACAAGAAGCGACTAGCTGCCATTATACTCAAGGCCCTAATATCTTTGGGAGTGAGAGTAGAATCCCTCATACAGGTATAATTGATAGCATTTACTCCAAAATTCCTATCTTACAAGCCGAATACAATAAGATCCCTAAACAATTTGTGTTCGTTAAAAAATACAAGATATAATTAAATAAAACAAACCAGCGTGTGGATTTAAACCCAAAAGAATTTTCACGGATGGTTACAAAACAAATGAAGGTACAGAAACTTTCTCGGAAGATCTTAATATCCACATTTATGTACACCGCTGGCAGAATCTATGGGTATCATCCAAGCATCCATAGCAATAGATGCTAGGAAGGTAAAAGATTCCATTAGAATACTGACCGACAGCATGGCAGTACTACAAGCTCTGAGTTGCAATGTGGTAAACTTGGGACTAATATATGAATGCCATCAAAAACTAAATAAGGTATGTAAACATAACAATGTGACTGCAATGGATAAAGGGCTACAAAGGATCCAGGGGCAACAAGGCAGCAGACGAACTGGCCAGAAGAGGATTAGAGGGCCAGAACCAATCATACCAATTATGTTTGGTAACATTCGTTCACTGGTACATAAAAACTTCACTAATCAACATGCTCAGCTTTAGAAAAATCTAGTAGACTGTAGACAAACTACCGAGGCCCTGCCCAGAAATAAACAGTCGTTTAACCAAGGTGACATTGAACAAGCCACAGATCAGTATAGTAACAAGTGCTATCACAGGACGACATGGCTCCTTTAAAAATTACAGCCTATGTACGTCCCGCTGCTGGGCAAGGCCTTCCCTCATATCTGAGAGGGTTTTAGGGCAGGAATGACTCCTTTAACAAACATTTATTTGCCATGGGTGTTACAAATAGTCTCCCATGCAGGGCATGTATGGGGGAGGAAGAAACGGCGACCCACGTGTTACTGACATATCTGGAGGTCACTGCATACAGGGCTAAACATCTCGACACGCCAGGATCACTCCCCGAAGTTTCTCGCAACATCAAAGGACTGTTTAACTTCTTCGGGGAGATCACATTATTCCTGCCCGCATGCAAAATACGCGCTTGACGTAGAGTTGCGGAAAACAGCCCGTCGTTATCCATCTATCTATTCTCTCGGGACTCTGTCAGTGAAAATGAAATCTGTCAGGCAAAATTGTATGAAAATTCTGCAGAAAATATGGGATCTTCAGGATAGTAATAATGAATAAGACCCACCACTTATAAAAGAGCAACCAGATAACGCAGAAGAGAAGCAAATACAATTTATTTTCATTAACAATTTGTTTTCGGTACTAAAACAGATGTTTAATCTATCTGTGTCCACAAAAGTATATCTCAGGAAATTGGAAAGTTATTGTACCTTCTAAAGATGGCAAAACTTACTGATGGGGCATACATCTATCCTTGATTACAAATCAATATGCAGATGCGTTGTCACCCGTGAGCACTAAGATGGAATGCCTTGTTTCCAGTAAAAGGGTTTCCGGTTCTCTACACTCACCATACAAAACACAGGAGTATTCTGTGAGAATGTGGCTTTCCCCAGTAGAGCCGACCCATTTGTGATACAACTATACCAATAATATAGCTGCAGTATGGCTCTCCACATTGGAGTGAAATTAGAAAAATTGCACATTTAAGGGTTAATAAGCCGGTAAGTATACACACATTATTAATTTAGTAGTCTTTATATAGATTAAAAACGAAATTTCCTCATTTAAGTTTCATTTCAATCCATGTAAAGTATACTTTTTTTAAATTCATAACACTGCTATTAAAATCACTATGAGACACCCTTACAAATTGCACCTATCTCTTTTTATGATATGGATGCCGCCTTCTAAATGAACTTATTGTTTTATTTGGTGGTTGGTGCTGCTTCATCTGGTACTGAGTGATAACAGGAGTCTCATTAGCTGCCAACTTGTTAATGACAAAGTCATCACCAGCCTTCATGTTTTCCATCATTTTGAGCTTTGCCTCTATTGATTGGATAGCAGTTTTCTTGCTGAGCTTCAATTCTGGCTTAGCACCAGCAAGTGCTGCAATACCCAGTTCTGGTTTTGGTTTATCTTGGTCATCCTGTAATTTTTTTTAAATTTAAGTTTCAGCTTTTTGGCTAATGAGGCTTTGTTTGTTATTAAAACTTGTAAAGATTCTCGGACTTTAACTAATACATCAGTTATAATCGTAAAATAAAACAATGTCATATTTAGGAAACCTATATAGATAGTAATTATTTATGCTCACAGACCTCACATTCACTGTACATGAACAATAAATGATTAATGTTTGCTTCACTTACATAGGTTTGTTTTATGCTGGTCACTTACATTTGTGCAAAAATTTGTACACATACATGCAAAAATTATGCATATGAAATACAAATGTCCCACATATATATTTCGTTAATAAATAATGGTTATGCAAAAGGTCATTTGCATAACCATTTGTGGCCTACTACTGTATTGCCATTGAACAATAAACATTGAAAATCATTTCACTATTATATAGTTAGCTTACTCTGTTCCATTAATTACCACATACAACATAATATGTATTGTGGTAGCAAGTCAACAATGTTTGTGCGCTTTGATATGCATAGAAAACTGTCAGATCAGCATACTATAGCAAATGTTTACAATACTTGCCATGTAGTCGCAATGTAAGAATGTCCACTACATCATAACATCCCATGGGTATCGTGAGAAATGACAAAGAGGAACAAATGAGATGGGCAGCAGTCTTCTTAATAACAGCTAAAAATAAAAAACTGTGATCGCCAATCTGCTTACCAAGCGTGGCAACTAAGGCAATATGTATGGGAGAGCCATGTTCAGCAGAGGACTTAAATAGGCTGTGACAATACTGGTTTCAGTACTTCATTACATTAGTGAATATATATATTTGTGTATTGTACACACATGAGTAAGCTGCAAAACTGTCCTTGTCATACCAGTAGTAAGAGACTGCCAACACTTTTAATCTTTAAATAAGACTAAATATAAAGTTATTGTAACTTCACCTGGATTAATAATTCAAGAATATGTGAAATCCACCTACACACAATTGACACAGTGAACGCACTGCCCAAATGAGAGTGCACTGAAAATGCTCTTAGAAATGAGAGGCTAGTGCCCAATAATGGAAAGTATATGTTGCTACTTTACATTATAAAAGATGTGAATTGAAGTATAACTATTAAGAGAAAACTTGCAAAAACCTTTTGAGGGTTGGATTTAGAATCGTTTGGCAGGAATTTGAGGGAGTAAGTTGTTTTATTTGGTAGAGATTTGGTCCCCGATTATAATAATACCACTCACATTAAAAGGTAATGCACCGTTATCGAAAAAATTAATAAAAACTATTATAATCTAAAATGCGTAAAACATGGAAAAACATGCAATATTACTGTGAAAGCAGAATATTTGTAAGTGCGACAAAGACGTAAGACTAGTGTCACATTATTTTACTATCTATACTCTCTGCCAAGAAATATTTCACTAAAGACAACTATTATAATAGTTTACTATTAATTTTACCGACTTCATATATGAATATTTATGGAGAAGAGAAATTATAAAGAATAAAAGATATCATTTTGAGGAATTAATAAAAAAAATTATGTTTACAGACAATAAAGAAATGATTATAATGTACTGTTTTATTTCTGAATTGTTTAAAAATGCACTGAAATACTTGAACACCCAGAAATAATTTCAGTTGTAATAGTTTAGAAGGTTGTGGCAGGAGTGTGTACTAAAATTAAACCAGCACGCCACATAGTCTTGTCTGCCCTACTCTTAGTGTTTTTGTAAAGCCGTAGGTGTGGAGGAGCAATGGTGCCTGTGGTTCGCTACGCAAGGGCTGCACTTCCCACCGCGCCGAAGCCGTTGTAGAAGTATCTTTGGGTCAATATGTAAAAAAGTGAGGTTATGATTTTACAAAAAAACCATTACTCATAAATTATACTTTTTCGCAACGAGGGAAAGGCAGAGGGGCTTTTCCTGATAGTGCAAACTCCTGCTCCCCTCTACCCCCCTCCTGCCAGAGACGATAAATGTTACTTTCAGGTTAGGTTATTTGGGATTTTCTTTTTGATTTTTCTCAAGAACGGTGTATTACCTTTTAATGGGAGTGGTGACGGGACGCTCCCCCCTTCCCCTCCCCTCCTCCTGCCAAAGGATTATAAATTTCAACCCCTTTTGGAGTTTAATATTTTAAGATTGACATTGTGTATTATCTTTAATTTATTTCTAATAAATAGCTCTTAACATATAAAGTACATACCGATGTAGTCTTGGCAAATTTAACACAAATTCTTTTCGATCCCAAGAGCTGACCATTTAGAGAATTCATGGCTTTAATAGCATCCTGTCTCATCTTGAAGGTGACAAAGGCGAACCCACGCGGCTGCCCTGCATTGGGCCCGCTGCGATGGAATAACATGTCGAACTTCTCAATGTTTCCATACACGCGAACCATTTTCAGTAATTGATACCGGTAAAGTGAAAAAGGAACAGGTTACTTGAGTAGACACAAGAAAAAACAATAAAGTGATTATACTATTATAAAGAAATTTTTTGACAAATTGGACTAGTTTGATTTATTTGATTGTTGCATTTGGTCCATTGTTCAATCTGTCATCACAGAGCAAAGTAAGCAAGCTCTGATCTACATGGGTTTTTGTGCTAGAGGATCATGCTTTGGATAAATATTTCCCCACGAAAGTGTTAGGGTCAGTTCACACCAAAACAATGCTCCTAAAGGCCAGTGGCTTCGCGCCGCCGCCAGACATATCGCGATTTCGCAAGGCGCCTCGTCGTGATGCGCCTCGCTACGCCGCAGTGCACTTTAGAATTATCACAACAAAATGTGTATCTTTTCATGTAATAAATAATGTTATATTTTGTTTCACTATTTTAAAAAGATGTGTCAAGTCTCTATGTGAGCTGACCCTTAGTGTTACTAATTTTCACAAGAGGCTTTTATTTTTATTACAAGTTTATTTTTAATTTTTTGTGTATAATCTGGGTAAATAACTTTACTTTTAAATAACTTAGCCTAGTCTCAGGCTGTGAAGTTGATTTCAAAGGCACTATGACAACAACCTAAATGAAAATAAAAAAAAAACAAAACCTAAAGCAAAAACTAGAAATGGTTTTGTATTACAATCACATCAGAGGTTGTGCACCTTAGAGCTTATCATTTAAGCCTTGTATACCTTAAGTTGTGAACTAACTAATAAAATAGACCACAAAATATCAGGAAACAACTTGCAGTGGATTTAATAAAAGCATGGACATTTAAGGTCCTGGCTCTACATCCAGAAATGACCCATCAACATTCTACAAGAGATGTCACATGTGGCCAAGGTCAAAGATAGAAAAATAAGAACTACATGCTTTAAATATGACAAGCAAGCCCGCAATGACCATTCCATCATAACAAGTGATGAATGTACTGACTAAAATCATACCTAGAAAAATTGTTAATCTATCAATACTGTTATCCTTTAGTTACATGTTGATTTTTTCTGATAGTCTAAAATAAATATACAATTTAAGGAGTTTAAATTTATTTTATTTTGAAATTTAGGGTAAAATACGCCCCATGCAAGTGTAACTATTTAGGTAGTAGTAGTTAAAATAAAGCACAAAATGATCTCCACAAAACTAAGATGGTGTATCTGAACTGACCACAATCTGTCTCAGTGATAAAAAATATTTTTACAAATAGGTTATAGCAAACTAAGATATAATATATATACATGATAAATAATCATACTCATTAACTCTAAGATCCAGATTTCCAATCCACAGTCTTTTGTCACACACTTCACTTTGCTGCATAGGCTCCAAGTGTAAGGGAACCTGTAAGGCCATTTACAAAATAAACATGCTTGAGAGCTTTTATGACACAGTTTTGCTTGTGACTAAAATAATTAACCAAATGTTTTAACAAGTTTTGAGTATTTCTTTTTTTAAGTAGTATTTCAAAACACACTTTTTTAAAAACATACCGTAGAGTCATCCATGAGTATGCCGTTACTTTTTGGAATAGAAATCACTAAAAAGTATAGTAAACTAAAGCAAATTTAATACCAAAAGGTGGAAATTATCACAAGTGCTTAAAAAAATAAAGGTATTGTATGTATAAATTTTTTTTTTCTGTTTTTTTGTATTTCTATAGTACATATTCTGTAGTTTTTCGATTGACTTTGATTGATTTTCATTTTGACGTTTGTTGCAATATTGCCAACTCCTATATATTCGAGTCCCTAGACTCAATATCAAAAGCCGCTAAAACTGATTTTACCAAGAGCGCACTCAGGATTTTGTTCTAGGATATATAAAAAAACTAATTTTTAATTAAATATATTACAATCATTATAACAATCACATTTTTTTCAATAACAATTTTTTAAATAACAATTTTCCACAAAAACTAGAAACATGCCATTGCATTTGAAAAAAAAAAATTCAAATTATATTAAGAATTATATAAAAATAAATATATAAATATATTTACTACTGGACCGGAAATTGTTTTGATTTGTATTCCAAAAGTTGTCGGATAAGTCGCTAAACCATTTTTGTCGTCAAATCTTTTTTTGTCGCTAAAACTTAAACAAAAGTCGTCACTTCTAGCAACAATGTCGCTAACATAGATAAATAGATCTGTAGCAGCTAGTCGCTGATTTATTGTTAGGCTCTACACGTCTAAAAATTAGAATTGTAACATTTATTTGCTATAAAATTACGCTCTTATCTTATATTTCATGCCGCACTTATATGTAGTTGAAAATAATTCTTAATTTTTTATTTATCCAAGGAAAAAACAACACAAACAAATCAAATTGAAACATAAATACTTCTAATTAACATAATAAATAAATTAAAGGAAAAAAAATGTTATACAAAATTATACGGTATGTAAAGTTTAATTTAAGTAAAAATACTAGCTAAATCGCCGCCGTCTGTTGGTAGTGTGCCCAAAAGACTAGCTGAGTTGCCTCGCTGTATTGCGAGGCTGATCCGCTGACCAAAATATCTGCCAGCTTTTGGGTCACCAGAGACATCGACAAGGCGTGATGAGATATCTCTGTACAAACGCCTTGCTTCAGGACCCCACGGCCCCAGTGTTTCTACACCAAACGGCACAAACATGTATCCCTCTCCGAGGGCTGCATATTTGCGCCGCTTGTTAGACTCGGCAACAGCAACAGCCGTGCCTGCCTTCTGTGCAGTCGCCGCGAGATGTGATTGCGCTAATGTGTCAACACAAGTCGCATCCTATACTAATGAGCGCCCATTTTTCCATGGAATAAGCGTCATTCCATCAGGCCTCTTGCCATCGTCCCGCAATATACCGCTTGGCTCTAAAATTGCAGGTACGTTGGCACTGGTTAAGGCCCGTCGAATGACGTCATTAATGGCTGCATGGCGAGGGATGCGACCGGCGCTTCGCTGGCATGCGAGGCCGTGGTGTCCGAGAATGTCGACCTCTTTACCACAGCGGCAGCGATGGAGCTCATTGGTTTTTAAAGCTAATTTCAGACTGATAGAAAGAGAGAAAGTAGTCCTATCCAAGAGTGTTCCGATATTTGACGAGTGCAGTGCTTTTAACCAGTAGCCAGACTCCTTCTCCTCAGATGCTAGGAGACGAGCTCGCTCAGTAGGGTTTCCGCAATTTTCTAAAAGATTTTTTTTAACCTGGATACTGAGTGACTCATCCCAAAGCCTCTGCGAAGTTGAGTTTGTCGGAAAATCCTGGTCCGGCCCTGTCTTATTGCTCCAGGCTTCCTTGGCCTCGGCCAAGCAGGAGACCTCAACATCACCGAGTGATGGGTTAATAATTGTTCCAATGAGGTCTGACGTGCTATGAACTGAAGACAAGAAAGCTGGAAGTGCTACGCTGGAAACTCTTCGGATGCCTAGACCACCAAGTCTAACGGGAAGTGTGGCCTGAACCCAGGAATTTTCATTTAATGGACAATTTAGAATTTCAATCATGGTTTTCCTAATCATATCATCGAGACGATTTAAAAATGGGACATGCATCCAAAGAGTTGAACACCGCAGCACGTACGTAAAATTTGGCACAAAAAGACAAAATTTTAGTATGGCATATGCCATGTGTGGGCTAATTTCTTTCAGACGACTGGATGACTCCTCAAATTTTAAAATCTTTTCACTAACAAAACATTGAAAGGACTCATCCAGAATAGGAGCACCTAGAAGGCGAAGCGATTTGCTGTTAATTATCTTTATATTTGGGGCTAAGGAGTTAAATTTGTTAACAATTTGATCTTTTTCGGACGATGGTAAATTATCACTAATAAAAAGTTCGCACTTTGAAAAATTCAATTTGAGGCCAATAGATCTGAAAGAGGAAATAAGACTGGTTAAATCATCAATCACTGAGTTCGCTTCGCCTCCTAGTGTCCCATCATCTAAATACCAGACATTGAATTTTGACTTGAGACCGGAAATAAATGGAGGTATTGCTAAACTAAAAATTGCCGTACCGAGCGGGTCACTCTGCTGGCATCCGACAGATGATAAAATTTGGTGTTCTTTGTTCATGAGTGTAGATGGTGTACTACAACATTGCCAGAGATAATGGTAAATGGATGGGATATTTTCTTTTACCTGTGTCAGCAGAGTGCCTCGGTCTACTGAGTTAAATGCATTTTCAACATCCATCTTCAGTAGCACCTCACCGCCGCCGTGTTTCAGAAAGGTGCGCGCTGCATGTACAGCCCCTTCGCATCCGCCTTTAATTCCGAAACCTAGCTGCACAGGCTGGAATATGGCCGCGAGGTCTGCCTGGATACATGTGCAGCAAACCTTTGAAACAATGCGGCAAATTGTGTTACCAACTGCTATGGGCCGAATACTCCCATCGTTTTTTTTAAGAGCGCACAGGTTTGCCCCATAAAGTATCTGCGTTATATTTGGGCAAACTTTTCCGGAAAGCATTAAATTTACAAGTTGAAAACTAAACTTCTAGTAAAACTTAAAAACTTCTAGTCGCTAAACTAGAAACCGTAGACAGAAAATCCAATAGGCAGCGAGATATGTTTTGTCATATATCACATTAGCACTTGTAAGAAAGAGATATAGCTACTATATTGTTGTCCTTATTCCCGTACCACCTAACAAGTTGTTTGGCATTAAATTTAGTGGCAGGCACTGCAATTGACATGGAGTGTTTCAATGTTTATTATTTTATTTAAATATTTATTTGCAAATTAAACTCGATAATTGTACGTTTTAAGTTAAAAAAATATTTGATTTTATACCATATCATGGTTCCGTGCAGTGTTATGGGCTGTAAAAGTCGCAATGAACGAAAAATTGTAGGCATTACATTTCCCGCGTAAGTAAAGTTATTTCATGTATATGTATATATATTTAAATAACTTTCTGAATCATGATTTACATGGAAGTATGAATTAAAGCGATGTTCACAGTCATTTTTTCTATAAATTATAATGATATTGTCATAATTAGTGTTATTATAACCTCAAACCTGCGTTGCCAGCTAAAGCTTATAATTACCCGTGGTACAATCTCATCGCTTACAATAATGGCGAGAGTACCTAATGTATTATACTACATATTTACCATTGCGATATTAACCTGTGCTTATGTCATTTAAATTTATTCATCTTGATGTTTTTTATTTGTCGGTTTCCCAATTGATTCGGAAATAAAAATAAATGGGTTGTAGCAACCCGTAAGAAGAATTGGGAGCCTACTAAATACTCTCGACTTTGCTCCAGGCACTTTGAAAGGAATTTATCCGTCCGAAAAGGACAAGAACTGAATTATTTCGTAATGCTGTCCCAACACTTTATACAATAAAGGTTTGTATGCTTAAATATGGTCGTATTTTAAACTTCTAACTGTGTTGTTTATGTAGTAGATGGGCTTGCTTTTAACCAGAATTTAACCCTTTCCCTGTCCCGTGTAATACATGTGGGTCATTGGTGTTGTTTTACTATTGTATTTGAAAATCGGACAATAATTGTGTTAACTAAAGTGTGTAAGTTGTAATATGATGGATTATGATAGGATAAAAGGGAATTTAAAAGACATGATTTCTATTACACTGAATATATAGAAGAAAATTGAAAATGTAACATTTTTGCAGGAGGATACTCAATAATATTGCACTCTAATCTCAGCGCAGTCCATCACCATCTTGAGACTGAAAAGCCGCACCTACTTTTCTTGACAGAGACGCAAATTGGATGTCCATTGAGTGCGGCGTACCTTGACTATCCTGGATTCTCCCTGGAGCACAAATTCCATCCACGTGCCGAAGTATGTGTGTACGCCCGCAATGACATCTCCTTCCAGCGTATCTGTCACCTGAAGACTCCACTTTTTCTACAATCTGGGTGATGGTAGATACAGGTATTGATAAAATCCTTTATGCCTGTGTCTATCGATCGCACAGTGATGACCAGGAGACAACACGATTATTTGATCCCCTTAGTGAGGCTGCTGACGTGGCCCTAAATCGGTATCCTACTGCACAGTTGGTCTTACTGGGGGACTTGAAACGCATGTCACCAAGACTGGCTGTTCTCATACCAAAATACCGACTATGCTGGAAGAGAAGCGTGGAATTTTCCTTTAACGCTAGGTCTTTCTCAGATGGTAAAGATGGCGACTAGGGTACCCGATGTAGACGGTCACACAGCAAATTGCTTGGAGCTTCTGCTGACTACCTAACCAGACAGATATGAAGTACAGGTTACTTCTCCTTTGGGTACATCTGACCACTGTCTGGTGAAATCTGTATCGTCATATTCTCCACCTGATCACGAGTCCCAAGGTGTTCGACGAATATGGCGGTATAAGTCAGCTGATTGGAATGAGATGCGACACTTTTTTGTATCTTATCCTTGGCGGGAGGTCTGTTTCTCTTCAGCGGATCCGTCGAGCTGCGCGGTTGCGATAACGGATGTGTTGCGTCAAGCTATGGAGTATTTTGTCCCCTTCTCTGACGCTCCCACCGGTAGCAAAGCTCGCCCATGGTTTAACGCTGAATGCGCCCAAGCTGAAAAGCGCAAGCATTTAGCTGACCTATCCTGGGTTGACGTTCGAAACCGCAAAGCTCCGGATATTAGCTCCAAGAAGAGAACTTTCAACCAGACCGCCAAGTCCTACAAAAAAGCGTACGAACCCGAAACAAAAAACCAGTCAGGAGTTTGGGTGTTCGAAAATGAGTTAAAGCCAA